GACAAGACAGGGACTATGTTATTTATAATATCCGAAGCCTTACAAGACGGGAACTATGTTATTTATAATATTGAAGGCCTTACAAGACAGGGACTATGTTATTTATGTCTTGTTGAAGAATCATCTGGAATCTAACATACGTTGTATGAAGTTAGTTATTAATAACCCTTTCTTTTTCTGTTCATTTTGCAGGAAGTTGTTGAATATGCCTTCCTTGTAATATTTACATTAGAAGCAGTCTTGAAAATTATTGCATATGGATTTCTATTACACAGTGGTGCATACCTTAGAAATGCATGGAATATATTAGATTTTATAATTGTTGTTATAGGGTAAGTTTTCTGATTGATAGGTTGAATAATTGGTTATAATTGATGGATGGCTGGTTTATGATGAAGGAGGAATGAATTGACTAATGTCTTGAATTGATTAGAATAACAAGTATATTTATTTAATGTTACTTGGATTTGTTATTGACTAGACTATTGAGAATAGACAGATAAATTCAAGTTGAAATGAGAAACGTAATGAAACAATCAAAATAGCTGTTACCTTCTTCACTTGTACTAATTTCTATTATATTATATTATATTATATTATGGATATGAATGAAAATTGCTCTGACATACCAGGTCACAATTACTTGCATGCTTTCATTGAAGATGGCAAGCTGATTGCAAATATGCACCAAATCAAATTTTTCAAACGTTCTTTGATCTATCTCAGATATACATGTGTGAATTATGGGCATAATACATAAATTAAACAATCAACTCCAACTATGTACAATAACAATTATGTCTAAGAAAATAATTAGTGCATTTCTCTTAATTACATATTCATTTTGAATAACAAACAATTATAAAGTTTGAAAATGAAACTTTTTGGATATAATTTAATATTATTCCTAAATCAGGAATCAAATTCTTAGTGAGTGTTTGTTTTCATATGGGTTTTAATTTGAAAATTGAGTTGGTAAGTGAAATTGATGATAATTAAGTGAAATGAATAGATGGATACTGTAAAATACTTTATTTTCGCTGAAAGAATGATTCAGTGAAAATAAAATCCAATAAATATACCTTTCAACCTATACTTAACCTTCAACTCGTCCATGCGAAACACCCAAAACGTCTTATCAGCGAAAATTAATTGCAGCTTAAATAAAGTCTTTTACAGTAGTATGTATTAGTACAGTTGTATATACATACTGTAAACCGCTTAATATTCACGGCAAAAAAGGTATTTTTTTGATTTGATGTTTTTTTTGGAATTTGTGATGAAAAAATGTCTGTGAAAGAACTGGTTAGTGTTCATTTGAGGTTGTTATGTTAGTGTTGGTGATTTATGCAAAGTATGTATCTATTTATGCCAGTGTCCACTGTCGTGTCAATTGGTTAATGTACATTTCATTCAATGTGTACATAGATCACACTCAAAAAGAGGTGTGCACATAAAAAAAAAATCCCAGCAAACTTGACCCAAAATAGTCCATGAAGTATTCAATAAAACATTACCCATTACCTATTGAATGATGGGTAGATTTATGAAATACAAGGAGTCGTAAAATTACCCCAAAGTGTGACTGTAAAGTATGATGTCATTGATTGTACAACAGTAGTGTGGTGTTCAGATAAAACCTACCCCCAATAATGCTAGGATGTTTGACCATTAAATATGTGGTCATTGATTGTACAACAGTAGTGTGGTGTTCAGATAAAACCTACCCCCAATAATGCTAGGATGTTTGACCATTAAATATGTGGTCATTGATTGTACAACAGTAGTGTGGTGTTCAGATAAAACCTACCCCCAATAATGCTAGGATGTTTGACCATTAAATATGTGGTCATTGATTGTACAACAGTAGTGTGGTGTTCAGATAAAACCTACCCCCAATAATGCCAGGATGTTTGACCATTAAATATGTGGTCATTGATTGTCAACATCATACTCTGTGGTGTTCAGGTAAAACAATGTGACAAGATTGGTTGATAAGATTAGAATGTTTTTATTTATTTCTTGACCCACCCAATTCATTGACTCCATTATACACACTAACACAATCACCTCTTTGCTGCTCTTCAGATTTTTTTTTTGTAATTGTTAGTAAATGTGAAAATTGAAAATAAAATAAATAGCCAAAATACATTCACAAAATACATAATAATTGAATATTTATTAATAATTTATCTTGAAATGCAATGCATTTTAAATCTTGTGAAAAAAAATGAATTTACTACATTTACTAATGACAGAGCAAACATAGACCTCCCTTATATAATGTATACACACTAATACCACTAATACAACCACATCCCCCTCTATACCATGTTAGCACCCATGTCTGTTCAAGCACCCATCAACACTTTTGCAGGTCAAGTTCACATTAAAATGCCAACCCTTCCAAAATGTTGTATTGCCTATCACAATAAGATTCAAGCAATCATCAAATGCCCTATTCATTGTTTTGCAACTGAAATTAATGTCAATCACCCTTCAATGTTGGTAAGCGTAAAATAATGTTATTTTGTTAAACATAGTCTGTGATTCCCAGGAATCGGTGATTTTTTGTACAACTGCGAGATCTTGTTAGTTGTATAAAAGACGTTCATCGAACGTCTGCTGCAAAAATTAAACGATTTGATTATGAACTACAATTTTTTTTATTTCGTAGCTCACATCGAAAGGCCAATCTTTTTCAGGGGAATGTTACGTTTACATATCCTTACTTTATCGAAATTGACCATCATCAAATGTGTACAGCACATTGTTAAGCATGAAAATATCCTCTAAAATACTTTCGCATTTGTCAAATACCACGCAAAGTTTGTCGCAACTACAATGCTATGACTTTTATTTGTCCTGTTTTTACATCCAATTTCACGCATAGCGTGGGATCTCGTAGAGGACGGAAAATGGTCTATTGTGTCAGTTGATTACAGCTTTTGATTGGTTGTTGACAGCCTATCAGATTAAACAATATTGTTGTAGTGAAACAGCATGGCATCACAAATTTGCTGATGACCAAAACCATTCAACAATGAAAATAATAATGATAAACTTAACTTCAACAATTTTACAAAGAATTTAATAGTTCAAACATGGTAAAATCATAAAACAATATTTTATTCCTGTTTTAAAACAAGTAATATGTTTGAGAGCAAAAATAAACAGTTTGAAAACTCTGAGGATGTGCTTGGCTAAGCACCTCTCCTTACAAATCACGATTTTCTGAGTTGACATCACTGGTCACTGAGGCAGACGAGTATGGTAATTTTTTTACTAACTTCCCTATCATCTAATACACATTTAAAAACTTTATACATGTATCACCCTATTTTAAGTTTTTTAAATTTTCTATGCATGCAGTTTTTTAAAATATCATATAAAAATAAAAAAAATTGATAAATAAATAGAGCATATGGTTATTTGTTTTTTTTTATGTTATTCACTTTAATTTACTAATGACTGGCAATTTATTCTTGCAGCGTTATTAGTTCTTTTTTAGAAATTTTTGAGTTGGACCAGGCAGGCTTTGATGTGAAGGCCCTGAGGGCATTTCGTGTCCTCAGGCCTCTCAGACTTATAACTGGAGTCCCGAGTAAGTTGTTTGATCATTTCATTGTGTATGTGTGTGTGTGTGGGTCCGAATGTTTTCATCATATTCTTTATGTTGCTTGAATTTTTCCCCCCACATTTTCTTCTCTCTCCCCACAGAATAATAAGTGAAGGTTTAAATAGTGCTGACTTGGGAGCAAAAGAAGGATTTGACGTGAAAGCTTTGAGGGCTTTCCGAGTTCTGAGACCATTGAGATTGGTCTCAGGTGTTCCCAGTAAGTAACCGGAATCCACGGCAATCATCCGCACAACTCCATAACCTGCAATGCATTCTGGGAAGGCTTGTGCATAAATAACAATAGCTGTAGCCAGATATGCATGTGCTCATCATGTTGCTTGCCCCGCATTTCATCATCCTTAATTCCTATCTCTGTCATCTCTGTATACCACTGCTTGTAAAGCTTCTTGCGAACATAAAAAAGTGGTGTCTAAAAGTTGGTTGGTGACCTGTGACCTGTAGATACTGCTTAATGCATGTAGTATCGTAATTATGTTAATGAATGTATCTGCATATTTCACTCTAAACAATCAACCCAAAATTGTAACTGTGAAATCTGGGAGACAATTTGATTAGTGTATACCAGGCAGCTGTGCTGACCCTGCTATTCTAACACTGTTCCCTTCCACATTGAGTTGGTCATTTTCATCTCTTCAACTATACATCATTTTTAATCTGTCTACATCACCATGGAAACATTGCCATTACTCCGGGAAAACTACTTGGTAAAAACAAAGGCACTTAGAAGTCTTTAGTTTTAAAAATGTCATTGGTCTTATTGTTATCATTGAAGCTGTTCAATCTATTACAATTTGTATCTGAGTATAATTTAAATATTTGTATTCATATTTAAATTGACATAATATGTACATGTATGTGCACCTGGTACCATTAATAATATGCAAATTAGTTGAAAATATAGCCACAAGAATGTCACCCATCTTTATATTATAAGAGCTGTCCAAAATCTAAAGTGGGCTCAAGACCAACTCGGTCCCAGTAAAATGAATGCACAATGTTAGATAAAAAATCAACACTGCTTAGCAGTGTTTGAAATCATTACCTGTCCTTATTGCCCGAAACAGGTAACTTTCAAGTTGAGCTGGTAAAAATTAAAACTTGCAAGCCCATTTAATATGGTCTGCCTCTATGAATTTTGTAAATGCAATATTACTAAATGATATTATTGGATAATATTGTACACCATTCTCTTTTGATGGCTGGTACAACGAATACAACAATTTAACATGGTGAATTTGTGTGTTTTTGTGATGCTTAATCACTTTTGGATTCAACCATTGAAGGTGAAATGGTTTATTAAAAATAGCTACTTACCCCATGACCACCTCTAAGCTGATTCAACCATTGAGGTGGAGGTGGAATGGTTTAATCAAACTAGCTACTTACCCCATGACCATGATTCAACCATTGAGGCTGAAAGAGGTGAAATGGTCAAATATAACCAGATACTTATAATATGACCACCATGAGGCAGAG